TAGACCTATGGTTTTATGTTGCCCCCCCCCTTGGGTTTTCGCCGCATCGTACCTTGTTCGCTATGTCTTTAGTGGCAATTCTCTTGTCAAGTAGACCCTTCAAGTGTGAACCATCTGGTTCTACCTCAAGAAGAAATACAGTAACAAATTCTGTTGATCCATGTGCTTGACTATTACTTGGAAGACACAGAGAAGAAAAGTGCACTGTCGTTAAAAGGCTTTGCATTAGATCCTTTTCACTTGGGAGGGGAGTTGCGGGATTTGTTTCATTGACTTTTTTTCTTCTTGGATCTTCTGTTCCTCACCTGGGACTGTGTGGCCCAGGGTATAGGTTTGTGCTGCTCAGGGGTGGAGCAGCACAAAAGAAGCAACCACTGTGTTTATGGAGGATTCAAAATTATGGAGAGCATTATCACAGGAATCCTCCAATCCAGATGGTTTCTAGTAAAAAGGACAACAGAATACTCCAATACCTTCCTTAGTATCAATTGTCAATTAATGTGACTTGAGCTCTCCTGCTTCTTCTGTCTTCTGTCATTAGTGTCAGGCAGCAGGAAGTCTCTGAGGAGACAGGACAGCCTCTTAGCACTGAGGTCTCAAATCAACCATCCCTCAAATGGCCAAACGTTTCCCTGACTACTTATTATATGCATACCAACCCCAAATCACTCCTTACTATTTTAAGTTGATAGAAGAGTCAACTGAATAATCATTAGACCGAAAGGACACTGAAAGTCAAACTAGTCTTAATAGAACTTTGTTAATGAAAGCTACACATTTTATTATCTCATGTTGGTTATGCTTTGTTAAGATAGCAAAAGACATGTCCTCCTCTCCCCTCCTCTTCTCCCCTTCTCTTTCTCCTAACTCCCTCTCCCCTCCCCCATGCTCCCAATTAACTCAGGAGATCTTGTCCCTTTCCCCTTCTCCGGGGGACCATGTATGTTTCTCTTAGGGTCCTCCTTGTTTCCTAACTTCTCTGGAGAACATGAGGGAGCAGGAAGATTGGGTCAGGGGAAGACTAGAGGAAAATAAGAAAAGAGATACCATAATAGAGGGAGCCATTATAGGTTTAAAGAGAAATCTGGCACTAGGGAAATGTCCAGAGATCTACAATGATGACCCCAACTAACAATCTAGGCAATAGTGGAGAGGCTTCCTTAAATGCCCTTTCCCAATAATGAGATTGATGACTACCTTGTATGCCATCTTAGAGCCTTCATCCAGTAGCTGATGGAAGCAGAAACAGACACCCACAACTAAACACTGAACTGAACTCCTGGAATCCAGTTACAGAAAGGGAGGAGTGATGAGCAAAGGGGTCAAGACCAGGCTGGAGAAACCCACTGAAACAGTTGACCTTAACAAGGGGGGAGCTCATGGACTCCAGTCAGACAGCTGGAGAGCCAGCATAAGACCGACCCAGACCCCATTACCATGGGTGTCAGTTGGGGGGCCTAGGCAAACTATGGAGCCTCTGGTAGTGGATCAGTATTTATCCCTAGTACACGAATGGACTTTGTGAGCCCACTCCACATAGAGGGATACTCTCTCAGCCTAGACACATGGGGGAGGGCCTAGGCCCTGCTCCAAATGATATGACAGACTTTGAAAATCCCCCCATGGAAGGCCTCACTCTCCCTGGGGAACAGAAAGGGGATGGGATAGGGGGAATGGTGGGGGGCAGGGGAGGAGGGGAGGGAGAGGGAACTGGGATTGACATGTAAAACAAGCTTGTTTCTAACTTAAATTTAAAAAAAAAAGATAACAAAAGACAGATTGTGTTTATATAACCAAGGAGTCGCTGTCGATTTTTTTACATTCTAAAGCAATGGAAAAAACAAATTTTATTGTTTATAAAGTGCTATGAAAACTGAGTGCAGTTGAATACTAGTAAATATTGCCCTACTCTCAGCGTTGTTTTCCATTGTGCCTCCCCATTTAAAACAAATGCTTTCACAGAAATCTGAAAGTGAGCCTTAACAAAGTTGGTAAGGGAAGTGAAATTCTCCAGTTCAGCTTCTCACTCATTAACACCCTAACAGAACTTCCAGTTCCATAACTATGTAGTCGTTATGAATTCTGCTTCAGTATATAAATTAATCTATTCATTTAACAGATGTATAGGTTCCTTTACTTCTTTCCAGGCACTGTGTTAGATATCGGGCATTTTAGCGGTAAACACAGCAGACCATCCCTCGCCTCATAAGGCTTTCAGATGAATGAGGAATAAGCAGATGAAATAGAAGCATCAGTAACCATGCATGAGTGGTGATGACAGATATAAAAGAAACAGTGTGAGCTCTGAGGACAGACAGATGAAGGCTATTCTGTCTTGGGTTTGGGGAAAGCCTCAAGAGAAGTATTTTTTTCTTCCTTTTTTTTTAAGTTAAAAACATGCTTGCTTCACATGTCAATCCTAGCTCCTTCTCCCTCTCCCTCTCCCTTCCCCCTCCTCCACCACCACTCCCACCAAACCCCCCCAGTCCCCCACCCAATCTCCACTTCAATCCCCAGGGAGGGTGAGACCCTCCATGGAGTACCACCAGAGTCTGTCATTTCATCCAGGGCAGGGCCTAGGCCCTCCCCCAAGAGTCCAGGCTGAGAGAGCATCCCTCATTGCAGGATGGGCGGCCAAAGTCTATGTGTATGCCAGGAATAAATACTACCTAGGCCTCCTCACTGACACCCACATTCAGGGGGTCTGGATCAGTCCCATGCTGTGCATCCAGCCATCAGTCTGGGGTCCAAGAGCTCCCCCTTGTTCAGGTCAACTGTTTCTGTGGGTTAAACCAGCCCAGTCTTAACTACTTTGCTCATCAGTTCTCCCTTTCTGTCACTGGATTCCAGGAGTTCAGTTCAGGGTTTAGCTGTGGGTGTCTGCCTCTACTTCCATCAGTCGCAGGATGAAGGTTCTGTTTCCTAGACTCTCTGGCAATGGGATTGTAGGCTGGCACTCCCCTGATTCATGTCTAAAACCCATATATGAGTGAGTACATGCCATGTTTGTTTGTTTTTTTGTGTGTGTGACTGGGTTACCTCACTCAGGATGGTTTCTTCTAGTTCCATCCATTTGCCTGCAGATTTCAAGATTCCATTGTTGTTTTTTTCCCGCTGAGCAGTACTCCACTGTGCAAATGTACCACATTTTCAAGAGAAGTATTTTGAATTAAAATTTAAAAATTGCACAATTAATCACTGAACTGAACCCAAGGAACCCAGTGACAGAGAGAGAGGAGTGATGAACAAATTGGCAAAGAATGGGCTGGCAAAACCAGCAGAGACAACTGATCTGAACAGGAGAGAGCTCTTGGACCCCAGACCGACAGTGGGGAGGCCAACATGGGACTGATCTGGACCCCCGAATGTGAGTGTCAGTGAGAAGGCCTGGGCAACCTATGGGGCCCTGAGCTGTGGATCAGTGTCTATCCCTGGTATACAAACAGTCTTCGTGTGCCTATAGCACAAAGAGGGATGCTCTCTCAGCCTGGACTCTTAGGGGAGTGCCTGGACCCTACCCAGAGTGAAATGACAGACTCTAGATATCCCCTATGTGGAAGGATTTGGCAATAGGGTGGGAGGGTGGGGGGGAAGGGGAGTGCGGGAGGAGGGGAGGGAGAGGGAACTGGGATTGACATGTAAAACAAGCTATTTAAAATTAAAATAAAAAATGATAAAAAAATAAAATAAAAAAATTGCCGAGTGTTGGCTAGGGGGTAGTGGCTATCTCTATTGTGAGCTTGACACACATGAAATCAGGGGACTCTACTGACAAACTGCTTCCATTAGAATGACCTGTAGGCATATCTATGGGTATTTTCTTGCTTGCTACTTGATTTGGGAGGACCCAGGCCACTGTGGACTGTGTAATCCCTAGGCAGGTGAACCTGGCCTATAGAAGAAAGGCAGCTGAGAAAATGGTAATCGGAGGTCCTCTGTAGTTTCTGCTTCAAGCTCTGGCTTGAGTTCCTGCCCTGGTTTCCTGTGATGATGGACTGTAACCCATAAGACAAAATAAACCCCTTCCTCCCCAAATTGCCTTCAGTCAGAGTGTTTCTCACAATGGGAAAGCAAACTAAAACACAAGAGGATAGCCAAGAGGAAAAAGTGAGGATGTGTGACAGAAAACAGAAGATCAGCTTAGCATAGCAGCCCTGCAGAAATGCCCTTCAGACCACGAAGGTGATTTCTGCTTTAGAAAAAGATAAGGAAATAGAAAGACTTAAATATACTTGGTTTGTGGTTAGTTATAAGTAGTTTGTGTACATGAAGCATGAAATTGTTTTACCTGGATACAGGCAAAATCAACAATAGAAAATAAGCCTATGGCATTATTAAATATTTTAGGCTAAAATTTCAAATTTGGTCTTACTGATCTAATCTAAGGACCTAAATACTATAAACAAAGCAGTCCAGAAGCATGAGAGCTAGGTATCAGAACTTAAACACCATGGACTAGATGCTCTTATTAGGACCTAATTACTTTAAAACATCTCATTGAAGGGAGCTGAAGAAATGACTCTGTAGCTAAGAGTACTACCCACTGCTCTCCCAGAGGACAGATTACCTGTCAGGCAGTTTTGCTGCCCTCCTCTGGCATCCGTGGAAAGTGCACTCATCTGCACAAACGTATGCACACCTACAATTAAAATTGAAAATAGAATCTTAAAAAAAACTCGCTGAGGGCTTTCATCACTTTCACATTATTGTCTTCTGAAATGATCTTTTTTTTTGGCACAAAGCTAAAAGTGTAACCAAACTGACAAGTCACTGGCACTTTTCTTTCCCAAAATGCTTTATCGTTTATTCATTTGTTGTTTGGGAGCCAAGACGCAGGTCCTCTTCTAGAGCCACAAGCGCACTTAGCCGCTGAGTGATATCTCCAGCCACACTGGCCTCTGTTCAAATGTGCTCACCAGGATGGTCCAGCTCTGACTGTTGATCGCTTGCCAGATCAATAATGGAAGATGCATGCTTAGTCACTCTGTCTCCACCCACAGTTGTCAATCAAGATGGCCAGCCTCTCATTGAAGGGAAGCTTAAAGAGAAACACGTGAGATGGAAGTTCATCAAGAGGTGGAAAACGCGTTATTTTACCTTGGCTGGGAACCAACTTCTGTTCCAAAAAGGGAAATCGGTGAGTTGGCTTGTTGCTGGGTTTGGTTTTTTTGTTTTGTTTTGCTTTGTTTTGTTTTGTTTTTGACACGTATTAAAAACTGAATTGTTTTTCTCTCCTTCAAAACCCACCAAAATCCTATAGCTGGTGTGTTAGTTAGTTAGTTAGTTAGTTAGTTAGTTAGTTAGTTAGTTTCTGTTGCTGTGAGGAGACACCGTGACCACAGCAACTCTTGTAAAGGAAACATTTAATTGGGGCCTGGCTAATAGTGCAGAGGTTGGCCCATTGTCAACATGGTGGGGAGCATGACGACGCTCAGGCAGACGTAGCGCTGGAGAAGTAGCTGAGAGCTGTACATCTGGATCAGCAGACCGACCGCAGGAAGAGCACTTTCCTCCAAGGCCACACCTACTCCCACAAGACCACACCTCCTGATACGGTCACTCCCTATGAGGGCCATCCGGAAACCTACACCTGCGATTTCAGGTGTCTTACTTTCTGAGTGCCTCATGCTTAAGCCTATCTTAAAAATCCTTATCCAACCGAACTCTACAGCAGGCTGACTAGTCCTGCAATTTCTTTGCTGTGTGGAAGCCGTGAATCCCAGTTTGGCCTGACTCGGGGTCTCTAAAAGATTAGGGAAATCCCTCGGGCTACTACTGAGCGTGACAATAAAGCTATGCTCTTTCCTGTGCTCTCCGAGATGCGGACGCTATGGGGGCAGGTGTTGAGACGGGTCGGATTATATAGCATTAGCTGGCGTTGAACTTAACGTGATCCATCTTGCCTCTGCCTCCAGAGTGCAGGATTAGGTTATGCCACCACACCAGGCACCAGTGTATGGTGGTGGTGGTAGTGGTGGTGATGCTTATAGTGGTGGTGGTAATGGAGGTGATGGTGGTGGTATTCTTGAGAGACAGTCTCACTGTGTAGTCCCGGCTGACCTCGAACTCAAGAGTTCCGGCTGTTTACATTGAATGTACCATTATACTTGCATTCTGAAAAGATGGTTGGGGCAACACAGATTGCCTTTTCTCTGTCTTTCTGTTCTATGGTGCATGAATGGAGTGATGTCACCCTCAGTGGTGGGGCAGATCTTTATCTACCACTGACTCAAATGTTGGTCTCTTCTGGAAACATACAGGGACACTCAGAAATCATGTTTTAACAGCTATGTGGAGACCCATTAGCTCAATCAGGTTGAGCTGTGTCTTTAACATTGTATAAAATTTTTTGAATTAAAAAAACAGCATTTTGTGATACTTTGAAGTTATGAAAGTTTCTCAGTCTGTGTCATACCTAGGTGGCTTTTCTCTGGCTAAAAAGCTTTTCAGAGTATAAATATGATGGCATATTCAATTTTAACAGTTGGATTAAAGAAATAGGGTTTTTTTAATAAGTTCACACTGAAGCATTTTTAAATGTTTAAAATGGCCATCTGAATTTCCTTCAATTTCTCAAGAACTTAGGAATGGACATGAAGATACACTATGAGGCTCTGTATGGTTGGTTTTATGTTGAGGTCTTTAATCCATTTGGACTTGAGTTTTGTAATGGGAATAGATATGGATCTTCTTGCGTTCTTCTACATGTCTACATTCAGTTATGCCAGCACCATTTATTGAATATGCTTTCTTTTTCCTATGTTAAATTTTGGCTTCTTTGTCAAAAATCAGGTGTTCATAGGTGTGTGGATTGATATCAGGGTCTTCAATATGATTCCATTGGTCCACCTGTCTGTTTTTATACCAGTACCAAGCTGTTTTCATCAATATAGCTTTATTGTAGAACTTGAAGTCAGGGTTGGTGATGCCTTCAGATGATCCTTTATTGTACAGGATTGTTTTCATTACTATAGCTTTATAGAAGAGTTTGAAGTCAGGTATGGTGATGCATCCAGAAGTTCCTTTATTGTACAGGATTGTTTTGGCTATCCTGGGTTTTTTGTTTTTGTGTTTTTCCATATGAAGTTGAGTATTGTCCTTTCAAGGTCTATAAAGTATTTTGCTGGTGTTTTGATGGGCATTGCATTGAGTCTGTAGATTGCTTTTGGTAAGATTGCCATTTTTACTATGTTGACCCTACCTATCGAAGAGCATGGGAGATCTTTCCATTTTCTGAAGTCGTCTTCAATTTCTTTCTTCAAAGACTTAAATTGTCATACATTTTTAACATTCTTATGGTCTTGATTTCCATGAGTCAGTCAGATAGCAATGTTCTCCCTCCATTCCTATGTTAATTGACCTCCTGTTCTCTTTACATTACTACAGGAACTCTCTATTTTCCCATCAGTTATGGCGTATCAATTTCTGTGCTATAGACTAACCTCAACACAATTTATTATCATCAGATACTTAATATAAACCACATGAGACTAATAAAGTGTATGGTGTAGATTTCTTAAAATTTTTATCCTGTGTAGTCCCTAAAAGAATTTTTCGGGGAAAAAATCTATGTAATACCTCGTAAACTTTAAATGCCATCAATACATTTATCATTAGTTTAAACAGTAATTTCTGTTGAGCTATAAGTATTGACATTTTAAAATAAAAAGAACCTATTTCCTCTTTAAATGTAATTATTAGGATAAAATAAAACACCATAACACATTAATTCACTGTCATCCATCTTTTATTTAAAATAACACATATATTAATCTCTTTAGTGCACATATTTGTATTACTTATGTTTCCCTTGAACTCATATTTCTATTCTGTTTGGCTCTTGTTGTCCTACTGACTCTTCGACACCTTAGCACCCAAAACAGAAAAGTCTTGAGCTGTAGGATGTAAAAGGACCTGGCCCTCTTGGAAAATTCGAAGAGCCAGTGACCCAGGCAGCAGCAGGAACCATCTCACGATCTTTCCTTCCGATTTGTTTCAGAAAGACGATCCCGATGATTCCCCAATAGAACTCAGCAAAGTACAGAGTGTGAAGGCTGTGGCTAGGAAACGCCGGGATCGCTCCCTCCCTCGGGCTTTTGAAATCTTCACGGATAATAAGACCTACGTTTTCAAAGCCAAGGACGAGAAGAGTGCCGAAGAATGGCTGCAGTGCATCAACGTAGCGCTTGCCCAAGCAAAAGAGAGGGAAAGCAGAGAAGTGACCACGTATCTATAAAGACATTGACCATGCATTGACCATGCAAGGATGTGGCATCATCCTTTGTTTCACTAAATGCCAGTGAAACCATTACCCCTGAGAAGGAGGGCCTAAAGGGACGGAGTTCTCAGTAGATCTCACACCCTCACAACTCTTATATTAACTCCCAGACATCTTCCTGAAGTGCACGAGAAAGAGGAGCCATAGAGTTCCTACTGGAGCATGTAGGGGGCCAAGAAGGGAAAGTTACAAATGAAGGAACTTCTGTGGCTATGTGATGTATGACTGTAAGAAAACATTATGTGGGGCCGGTGAGAAGACTCAGAAGGTAAAATGCACTTGCTGATGGCCTGAATTCTAGCCCCATAATTGACCTGGTGGAAGGAGAGAACCAACTCCTAGGAATTATCCTCTGTTCTCTGCATACCATGGCACATTCATACCCCCAGCAGATAGATGGATAGATGGATGGATGGATGGATGGATGGATGGATGGATGGTATTGTAAAAACAGACGTCTGGAAGATCTGCCTTGAAGAAAAACTACTACATTTAGAACATATTTTTTTAAACTGTTAGGAGAAGTTGAACCAACATGTGCTGAAAAAAACCAACAATTTTAGGCTGAGCAGTGGCAGCACACGCCTTTAATCCCAGCACTCAGAAGGTGAGGTAGGCCAGTCTCTGTGAACTTGAAACCAGCCTGGTCTACAGAATGAGTCCCAGGACAACCAGGGCACTACAGAAAAATGCTGTCATGAAAAACAAGCAAACAAACAAAACAACAAAAAAAAAAACATTAACTTTAATATATTAGTCACCTTTCTGTTGCTGTTATATAATACTCTGACAAAAGCAACTTAGGGGAGAAGGGGTTTGTTTTGGTTTACACAAAACCCACCTCCACCGGTGCACTGCCCCTAGCAGGGATCCACCTCCTAAGGGCTCCAGAACCTCCCGAAACACCACTACCAACTACGGACCCAGCATTCAAATACGTGAGCCTATGAGGGTTATTCGCTATGTAAACTTTCACATTTTATTTCTCTTCTCGATACAGAAGATGCTAACACATAATGCAGTGGTCCTTGTTACATAATTAAATTTAGGCTCTAAGTAGAGTGTAATTGATCGTCACTTCTTAAGCACACGGTTATCTCTACTGTCCAAGGCAGTAAGTATAGATAGAATAAGGATGGAAAGAATAAGCATAGCCTCCCTTAAGCTGAAAGGTTTTTAATAAGAATCCTGTTTTACATCTCTGTAGTAAGCCTTGTATTGTCCAAATTATAAACATGTATTTGTTGGGTTTTTTTGCCACTACCCATATATAATCTTGAATTAAGCCACCATAGACAGATCAGGTGACTTCCAGGGACCCATGCTCTGTAAAAATGTTCTACCCCTTGAGTGGTAGAGTGTGGGACCTGAAGCTTGCTTCTAACTTACATAATAGAACAAAAGTGATAGGATAGCCTAGCCTCTCCTATAATTGTGTTACATTACAAGGGACATCTGACCTGACACAATAGAGAGCCTCCCAGGATCTAGCCCAGCCACCACTGTGGTGGCAGTCATGACATACTCTGATCTGAGGGACCAGGCAAGATGGATTCTTGCCCCACAAGAACTGTGCAAATAATAACTATACTCTGCTTTAAATGCAAGCCATGCAGTGATTTTTTTATGCGCTGATTAATTCATATAAAACCCTCCTGGTAATATATCAAAGATAACTTTTTTCTGTAAAGATGATTTATTATGTATTTGAGTATAGAAGCCTGGGAAAAGACTTAACTTGTCACTACAATGACACTACTGTTAACTCACTGGTGTGGGAAATATTAAAAGGGTCATACCTGAGCAAAGAAACTTAATTCAATTTTAACATGTAAAGTTTGAGAAGATTATGAGCCACAGGAGTTATTACACATTGGAAATGGAGTTCAAGAGGTCAAAATTTGGGTCCATTGCATATGTAGGTAATTGTGAAAGATATGAAATTGGTTGGAAATTACTGCAGAAAAATAAGAAATGGAAGAATTGATATGGGCCCCTTGGGATACCAATGCTTGGGCAAAGTCAGGTTAAGCTGATCAGTATTCAGAGATGATGTAGTCCAGGAGACCTGATATTATAAGAGATAAATTAAGAAAGATTTTCAAGGTGTCAACAATTTGAAGTCCTAAAGATAAAGCTTGACTTTCATAATTAGGAGGCAATTGATGCCACTGGTAAGAACGAATTCCTTGGAATGATGGAGAAAACGTTAACTTTCCATGTGTTATGGTAATTGACTGCCGCATTTTAATTTTTTTTAAAGGTGAGGTTAGGGTGAGAGAGCAAGGATGGATAAGTGATTCCTTATTTTGTTTTCAGGTGAAGTCATCTTAAGAAGGAAAACAACTTAACAAATGCAGACAAGGAAAGACAAGGGTAAAGTTGCTAGATGGATGAGTTAGAGAATCTTTTTTTTTTTTTCAAGTTCTGTGTCAAGGAGCCAGGGAAATGTCTTAGCCATAAGATAGAGTGCCTACAGGTATAAGCTGCCGAGGTCAAATCCCCAGTACATACGTGCAAAGCCCATCATGACTTTGGGGGCCTGTAATCCCACACTGAGAGTTGGAGACAGATGACTCCCAAGAGCTCCTTGGTCCAGCCAGTCCAGCTGAAATGGAGAGCATCTGCCTCAGAAAGAAACCCTGTATGGTGGTTTGGATGAAAATGTCCTCCATAGGCTTACATAATTGGCTACTTGATCCCCAGATGGTGGAACTATTTGTGAAGGGTTAGGAGGTGTGGACTTGTTGGAGGAGGTGTGCCGCTGAGGGTGGGCTTTGAGGCTTCAAATGAAAGGCCCATGCCATTTCAAGTTAGTTCCCCCTCCCCAACCCTGCCACATGGTTGTTGTCACAAGATGTGGGTTCTCAACTCCTGCTCCAACACCATGCCTGCCTGCCTGCCTGCCTGCCTGCCTGCCTGCCTGCCGTGCTCCTTGCCATGATGGAAATGGGCTTACCCTCTGAAACTGTAAGTCTCCAGTAGACTCTTCTATAGTTGCCTTGGCCTTGGGTGTTTGGTCACAGCAATGGAGACATAACTAAGACCTTGTTTCAAGGCAAAAAGGCAAATACCTGGTATTCTATTCTAACATCCACACTCATGAGCAGTCAAATACTCACATGCATGTACTATACACTTGAAACACACACATACACACAAACACACAGTAAAGCGCCTGAAGAGACTGATTTCCCCTTTGGAGGAATTCATAGGTTTTTTTCCTGGTATATTTAAAGTCAATTACAGTGGGGCAGGGACTATTTCTTTCCCCCAAGAAGTTTACTGTATAGTGAAGGAGACAGACAATTACAACAAAAGTTCCCGTGCTCTATGTCCAGTGCCTTGATGAAGTTATACACCTAGTCCTATGGAAATCGAGGAGATGGTGTCATTTTAATGCACTCCCACACTGTTTCCCCAAGCTTATTGAACAAATATTAACCATATGGATAAACAAAGAGCAAAATAGCAGGATAGAAGACGGCCCTGCAAATGTAAAGGAACACACAGTCCATTCCTGAAATGGAGTTTTTGGTTTTTCTTAAGATGGTATAGCATCATTACAAGGTGTCAGGCAGATCCACATTTAGGAAAATAACCTTTATGGTAGTACAGTTCATGGAATACCGATCAGAAATTGGAGCAAAGTCCATAGGACATGGTATAGCCTTGTGGCAGATTGCATTCCTAGTATGCATGAAGTCCTGGGTCAAACCACCAAGCTGCACAGAAAAAAAAAAGTGTACCAAAACAGTTGGAAGGCTCTTCTAAGGTGTTGAGGGCCGGGATCGATGCAGTAACTGATAGAGAAATGATGCAGCTGTTTGGATATGGTTTGTGCATTTCCCCCAAGGGTTCACATAGGAGTCTTGTTCTCAGACGGAGATGTTGGGAGTTGGGTGAGACCTAATGAGGAGAAATTAGGTCATGGAGGAAACTCCCTCTGGAAGGGATTGATATAGAGGAAACTCCAGTTGACTGTTTTTTGGGGGTTGTTTTTGTTTTTGTTTTTTAAAGCAACACCTGGCCCTTCCCCAACCACACTGGCTTCCCCTTTTTGCCAGATGATTCCCTCTTCTTGCACATGCTGTTACCATTCAGATTTCATCTGCCACAATGTCTCTTTAGAGTCAAGCCCAGGCAGGTGTCATGTCCTTGAGCAAAAAGAACTATGGTTTAAAGACATCTCTTTTCTTTACAAAGTTATCAAGATGCAGATACTTTGTTGCACTGATAGGGAAGAGACTGATGCAAATGGTCAGACGGGAGAATTAGTAAAATTGGGAATTATTAAAATGAATGAGGACTGGTGGCTGCTTGGAGCTGGAGGACAGGAACAGAAAAAAGATGAATATACCCGTTCCTAGGTGCTTGCCTGCGAAACTGTATGTGGGTGATGGCGATATTCCCTGAGATAAGAAACATGAAAACAACTTGGGAAGCAAGGCAAATGCTAAGTTTGATATTTTTTTGTCATCTATGAAGCTATATAATTTAAGTTTATTTTAACTAATATACAGAGATATTAAAATAATGCATATAAATCATGCATATTAACATAGTACAGTGTGATGCCTGAGTACATATATCACATTCTGTTGCCCTCAGAGGTCAGAAAGGGGGTGTCAGAACTCCTGGAATGGGAATTACAGACGAGCCACACAATGTGGGTGTTGAGAATCAAGGCCAGAGCCTCTGGAAGTGCATCAAGTGTTTTTAAACCAATGAGCTGCCCCCCACTTCCTCCAGTCCCCTACCAGCCCCTCCTTAAGATCCAGAGAAAAATTCCATCTGCTTTAATCAAACGGTCACCAAGTGCTAGGGAGCATGGTGACAGCTGTTATGGTGAAGGCCAACAATGCACTCACCTTTCACAGTGAGAGAGTCTAACAAAACAATGGTGGAGGCTGGAGAAATAAATGCATTAGGGGTCAAGAGACTTCCTGGTCTTTCAAAGTACTGAAGTTTGATTCTAAGTACCCACATAGATGGCCACCTGTAACTCCCCCTCGTGGGGGATCTAACGCCCTCTCTTGGCCTCCACGGGTACCACAAATGTGCACATACATGCGCATATACAAATAACAAAAAATAAAATAAATAAATCTTTTGAAATGCCATGCAATGCTTCTTCTCTGCACTGAATGTTTATCCTAAAAGGAACATGGACCCCCAGTTCTATGCGGGGTGGACAGCTACTTTTACTGCTTATCTGTGATTGAGCTGACTGGATGCCTCTATTTGGAATTTGGCCCTTGCTGCCTATGAACCAGATCCCACTCTAGCTTCATTTCAGGATGCACAGGCTCAGACCAGTAAACTCCCCTGGTTTCTGAGCGGTTGTGCTACAGAATCATTTCCCACCCAAGGAAGTTTCTGTCACTGCCACAGCTGTCGCCTCAGGCGCACTACAGACAGGCCTTCCCAAGACTGAAGAAGAAATCACTTTTCCAAACATGCTGAAAGCATTATTAAAATTTGCAATCGTAAACAGAAACTCAATTTGTTTTCAAAATTTTTACTTCATTTTGGCTCTTTTTTTTCTTGTAGAAAGCCTTAAAACATAAATATTTATATGTGAACGCTCCGTGTGGTTACTCTTGAGAACTTCTAATTTCGTAAAAAAAATAATAAATGCTCAATAACTTTCTAATACTAATCTTGGGTTGGTCATGTCAAAACACATGGGTAATTGGTTCATCTTCTATCTACCTACTTCCCATCAGAGCCAACGGCATATTTGCAACGTTGGCATAAACACAGGAGAAATGGAAGGAAATGCGAGAAGGAGAGATCTGGACAGAATCTAAGGGGCATTGCAGAGAAATAAATACCCTGACTTAAGAACCCTAAAGGATCCAGGCAGTGGTGGCACACACCTTTAATCCCAGCACTCGGGAGACAGAGGCAGGGGATCACTGTGAGTTAGAGGCCAGCCTGGTCTATGAATTCCAGGACAAGATCCAAAGCTACAGAAAAACCCTGTCTCGAAAAAACAAACAAACAAACAAACAAAAAACCTAAAAGGAATGTCTAGTTTTCTAAGTTTTTGTATGAAAACAAGAAACAGAAATAATTTAAGATTTCTTGTTCCATTAATCCTGAGAGATGCTGAAAGACAAAGGAGCTGGGAAACATCTTCTGTGGTAGAGTCTAGGAAAATGTCGTAACCCTCCAAGCACGGACTCATGAGAATTCAAAAGAGATTACTAACTAGAGCAGAACTTAGCCCTCTTCCATCTCTAGATGGGCAGAGCAGCACGGGAAAGATCAGATCTGACACGAGCCGTGTCCCCCATGAAAATATTCTGCAGAATCTTTACCTTAATAGAAAATTTTAAGCAAGTCGCTTTATTAATTTACCAGTAAGAGATTAAAAATCTTTCCAGTGAAACTGCAACACATTGTGTTGTTGACATTAGTTCTGAGCAATGGACTTACCAAAAGATGTTTTAAACTTATTCAGAGAGATTTAGCTGTGGCACGAATTTTCTTTGGTCTTAATAATAAAAGCCAGGAGTCAGATATGGGGGGGCAAGGTAAAGATTTATGGAAACAAGATGGATCATTTGGTCTGAGGCAGACTAGTTGTCTAGGCTGCATCCACATCTATGAATCCTCAGACTGCATCTCACTCTTGTCTCCTATCACCTTACATCCCTCTCTCTGCTCAGCCACACAACTCCTGTGTCCACCTCCCCAGTGCTGGGATTAAAGGCATGTGATCCCAAGTGCTGGGATCCCCTTTGTGTGAGCTGTTTCTCTTTTAGACAGATTCAATCTCATATAGCACAGGGTGGCCTTGAACTCACATAGATCTGTCTGCCTCTGTCTCCTGAGTGCTGGAATTAAAGGTGTGTGCCACCACTGCCTGGCCTTATGACTAACTAGTGTGTGGCTAGCTTTGCACTCTGATCTTCAGGAAAGTTTTGTCTGTTAGATCCTCATATCACCTCATTTAGCAGCTGGGTATATGGCTTGGTATGTAATTCCTTCCCATCTATTTCAATAAGAAAATAAAACATAATTGTATCTGTGGGTCAATGTCTTCGTTCCTTAGCAAACATTCAGAAATGGCTTTGCAAGACCCTATGGAACTGTGGTCACTCCTCCTGCGATGGCTCATTGGTTCCCATTATGGTTAAAATCTGACACGAGCCCTCACAGTCTCACAACCTTGGCCACTAACTTGTGGTATAATCTTGGGGAGTTGTATAGCCTTCCCACTTGAGAGAAGTATGTCTCAAGTGTGAGGGGAGGCAGGTCTTTGAAGGTTTTATTGCTACTGATTTCAGCTTTCTTTCTCTGACTCCTGGTCTGCCATGATATAGGAAAAGCATTTCCAGAATATTCATTCGAAATAAACATACGAAAGACGAAACAGAGAGGCAAAGTTGGCAACCAAGATGGACACTGGAGAACCAAAGGCATAGAGTAGCAAGGATGGGTGGGTGGTTGACTGTATGAACCTCAAAGATACTACACGGCTCCTGGGACTAGTTTTTACATGCACTTGTTGAGCTGTGACTTTACACTCAATGAGCTTTGATGACAGATTTCCATTGCCACATGAGCATTAGTCTATTGCCAGGTTTTGCAAGGCCTTATAGCCATGTGTTTGAATCACAGTGACGAGACCTGGCAGGAAACTTAACTCCCCAGTCCTACCATGAGAACCCCATCCTTGCCAAGCACATCTCAGATCAACAATCATTGTCTGCACAATCCCATTCACAACACAAACTGAATTTGTTTACTTCAGAGAATATTTTTCTGGGGGGCCTATGTGGGTAGGAAACCCTGGATTGCTGTGTATTTGTCTACAAAATGATCACCAAATACATTGTGTTCTTTATATAAACCTCCATGCTTTCATCAAGCAGAAAGAAAATGAATTCCATTGTTTTTCAATCAACATGACTAAATTTCACCTTGGTACTAAGAATCCGGAAGAGTCACAAGTAGTCAAATAATGTCAGAATACAAAGCACTTAGGTGGCAGGCTCGCTGACTCAGCAATGACAGAGCCCTCTGGTGTCCCATTAGAAGCCAAGAGTGACAGCTCCTAACAAGGGGAAAGCTGATTTTTTTTCTTATTTTGAGTTGTTTTAGAATTCTTCCTTCCCTTGCTTCATTCTCAGTTGTCCATCCGCTAATGTTAGTAGACTATTCACGGTGTAAATCTGTACACAAAATACGTTTCACACATGCGAGGACACAGTCACTGCTTTGTGCTTTGCAGAAACTGGCTTTATTTCATATTATCTTATATTAAATTTACATCTCTGACCTCTCCACCATCACCGCCATTACCACCAGACTGGGATCTCTTGTAGTCAGAAGGGAGCTCACATTTGTTCCCCTGTGCTCACCGGTCACTTCTGCACACACATTTCCCTGGGGAGTGTTCTGCTTCCTCTTAATTTAGATCTACTATCATATGGAAGGAATGACCTAAGTTTCTTATCCCATACAAAAGAAAAACAATGGCTTGATTTTTCTAGACTAGCTCATGCACTCCAAAATCAGAATAAGGCACTTTTTTCTAAATCTAGACACGTCCGTCTCAGAAAATTAACCATAGTATTGGGGATATATATGCATGAAGTGCTAAATTGGGGACAATTTAATTAAACACTTGTCGCTCAGATATCTCACAGGAGCATATCCCGTGCTTTTCTGTGAGCACACCTCTCACATGTTACATGTGACTTGAGCATCGCTAGAATGTCACCATCCCTTGAACCCGCTTCAGTTGGATAAATTAAATTCTATTGAAGCCGCGACTGCCAATATAATGAAGCCCACTAGCAGAATGTGAGCAGCCAAGTAAGCTAGACCGCACTCTTCCAAGGAAGAAACTCAGTGTTTACAATTCAGCAAACAGTGTCTCGGGCTATTAAAATTGAAGCAATTGGAGCTTACTGATCTACCATCCTCCTCCTATGCAGAAGGCCCTTACTTGTCATCATTGGCTGGTGTCATCTCTAGTGGCTCAGGGTCAGACACAGAGAGACTGTGACTTTCTCATCAGTCTGCGTCTCATTAAAATAATTTGCTCTGGTTATGTAATAACACATCTTGTAGAGCACTGTAAACACACAAAAAGTCTATTGAACTATAATAAAAAAAATTCTCTTAATTAGTAAATCATTCAGAACCCAAAATAGTCAATGGCATTCTCATTGGGTTACTCAGTGCAAAAGATTTTTTCTCTAGGAAACGATTAGCTTTACTTCTCTCTCTTGCAGCCAGGCATCATTTCTGTTCCCATTCCCAGGACATCCTTTAAAATAGTGTGATTCAGGCATTAACTTTAAGATTATTTATTTATTGTGAATACAGTGTTCTGCCTGCATGCATACCAGAAGAGGGCACCAGATCTCATTGCAGACGGTTGTGGGTCACCACCATGTGGTTGCTGGGAATTGCACTCAGGACCTCTGGAAGAGCAGCCGGTGACCTTAACTGCTGAGCCATCTTTCCAGCTCCAACTTTACCGATGCTTAGTGAATGTTCAACATGTGCCTGGCATGAGGCTGTGACACTAGGACTCAATGATGACTAATAAGTCACCTATGCCTTTAAGAAGCTTAGTAGGTCCCACTCTGTTTTCTAATTCCCTAGCTTCTGAAGTTACTTCAGGTTACATGCTCAAAACTAAGGACTTGTGACAAGGATTTAAAACTGAGAGCAAGTATGTGACATTTGTCTCTCTGGATTGAGTTACTTCATTCAGCATGTTTTCTGGTTCTCTCTCTTTACCTGCTGAGTTCATGGTTTCATTTTTCTTCGCAGCTGAGTAGAATTCCTGTGTCTATACACCACATTTCCATTATTCCTTTTATTGGTTAAAAGACATTTAAGCTGTTCTGTTTCCTAGCTATTATGAACAGAGTGGCCATGAACATTGCTGAACAGATATCCATGAAGTAGGATTTCAAGTCCTTTGGGCATATACCAAGGAACGGTATATCTGGTTTATATGGTCGATGTACTCACAGGTTTTTGAGAATTCTTCACACAGATTTACGTAGGGGCTGCCTCAGTTTGCAATCCCACCAGTGGTGAATGAAGTTTCCCAGGTCTCTTCACCCTCATCACCATTTCTTTAAGGCAA